AGAATTATATGATAATGGGTACATGGCAAAAGAATTATATGATAATAGGTACATGGCAAAAGAATTATATGATAATGGGTACATGGCAAAAGAATTATATGATAATGGGTACATGGCAAAAGAATTATATGATAATGGGTACATGGCAAAAGAATTATATGATAATAGGTACATGGCAAAAGAATTATATGATAATAGGTACATGGCAAAAGAATTATATGATAATGGGTACATGGCAAAAGAATTATATGATAATGGGTACATGGCAAAAGAATTATATGATAATGGGTACATGGCAAAAGAATTATATGATAATAGGTATATGGCAAAAGAATTATATGATAATGGGTACAAGGCAAAAGAATTATATGATAATGGGTACATGGCAAAAGAATTATATGATAATAGGTACATGGCAAAAGAATTATATGATAATGGGTACATGGCAAAAGAATTATATGATAATGGGTACATGGCAAAAGAATTATATGATAATGGGTACATGGCAAAAGAATTATATGATAATGGGTATATGGCAAAAGAATTATATGATAATGGGTACATGGCAACACAATTATATGATAATGGGTACAAGGCAATAAAATTATATGATAATGGGTACATGGCATAAGAATCGAAAATGATGAAACTATGTCACGATAGCCTGGCTTTAGTTGAAACAGCTACTAGGAAGTCTGAAGGCATTAAGCAATAAAACATATCTTTAATTTCAATTGAAATATTCTGCCTGTCTGTTTTATGTATCTCAACATATAATTAGTCCGGAGACTTTTTAAATATTTACTCAGTCAGATTAAAACTAACAAGATAAATAACTTTTATCATACATCCAATATATAATATAATCTGAAACTCATTTCTTGTCATAAAGTTCTATACATGTTAAAATGCAATTTAATGGAATAGAGTTTTACGTCTCATTTTTCTGCACCCGGGAGACGATCAAAGCTTTTAGTGTGCAATGAGGGACATTGTGCCAATACAGCGGTATTATCGTAATCTTTAGTCCAATTCGAACTGTCGGGGTATCTTTGACATGTTCAGCCT